AATATTTTGGTCACTATAATAAAAATATGGTAAAGTTTACTTGAAATCATTGTAAATGATTTAAATAGAGTCATAATCTTAATCAAACTAACTGTAAATCTAAAAATATGACATTATAATAGTCTTTGAGTAATAATAATCGCACGATATGATATCATTTATTATATTTTTCAATAATATTTTTAGTATATTAATAATATATTTTAAATGTTATTGAAAAATATTGTAAATGAGTCAAATGAAAATATGAAAAATGGTAAAATAATGAGTAGAAAATTTTAGCAAGACTTTTGGGAGGTACTATAACACCTTACTCATAGTTCCACTCATATTTTATATGCTTGACTAAAATAGGATGTCACATTTCAATTGTCATTATTATTATCGATAGAAGTGCAACGAAAAATAGATAATCTTAAAATTAAAACATTCAAACATATTAGATAAAATGATAGAGTTTCCCCCAATGAATATTGTTTTTGACACTTTTACATGATTATAACGTATAATCAAAGAAAAACACTAATATAACATGTCTAAAATTTATATATACAAATTGCCTACACGTCATTGTTCATATCTGCGTTGGCATAGGCTTACACATGCTCACTTCCTTATCTAATCATTTGGGTGGAGTACTAGTATCCTTACTTGTAAAATATGATTTATAGTGAGTAATCACTCGGTAAAAACCTTTTTTATAGTTTTATTTAGTTAAGCATATATCAAGTTATGTATATAATATTTCAAAATCATTTACATAAGATATTAATTATAAACTACTCATCTGACTTCTTTAGCAAGCATAACCTTATAATATAATATATGCAAAATAAAGAGGTAAAATTCTATATAAAAAAAATTTGAAATGCTTATATACATACGTAAGATGCATAGCAAATTCATGAATTTTATGTCTCATATTATAATCTATACGTGCACTCTTATATCGTATGTTATAAATACATATGTGCAGTCTCACACCGTACGTTATAATCATATAATGTACATTATATGTTATAATATATTTGTGCACTTCCACACTACATGTTATCATATATGCACGTATATAAGATATTTTTATTATAATTCATATATTTTTATACTTACAAAATATATACATTTACATTCAGCTATTGTCTAACTAATGATATTCATATTATTCAAAGTATACTTTTAAAAATTTATTATGAATACGATAATGTATACGATCACTATTTTATAGTGAATTAGACTTATAATTACATGATTTAACTCAAAATAAAGATGCTAGTGAAAGATCGTATTTCTTAATTATCGAGTATGGTAGGGGGTAATATACCTATCAAATTGGGAGTATAGAGTCATGAGATATCTTAACTAAGAATCATATATCTTAAATTATTATTTTTAATAATTCATGATGATAATTCACAGAAAAAAATTGATAAAATTTCTTATAAAATAAACTATACTTAACCTAAAAATTTATCTAGATTTCACCATAAATAATTTAATAATTCATATTATAATCAAACAAACTAGTTAGTATCAATTAAACCATTATATAATTATGCAAAGAAATTTTTTTCTTATTCTAGCTAACTAAACAATTTTGAATTATCATGAAACTTTATAAAATTACAAGACATATAAAACTAAATACACACCAAATTTTAGCTTAGAACAAAATTATTTGGAGGTTTAGAATCATAAAAAATTCATATAAAGCATATCCAAAAATCAAAGATAAATTCAAAATTTAGGTTAATCAAAAGTTACTAAAAAAAATCAGCCTATAATGTATAAAACTAAAACTCAAGGTATAGCAAGAGAAGAATTGAAATTTTTTTTATCTCAATCTTTTTTAGAGCTTAGAATTCTTATAGCTTAGGTTTCCTTACTCCACGAGAAAATCTAATAAAATAACTAGAAATAAAGAGAAAGGTTTATGACTTATCTAGTTGGTAAAGAGAATGATTTTAAAATAAAATATATGTGTTCAAGAGGTTAAATGTTCAATCTCATGGGGCCTCATTTTAAGTTTCCTTTTTCTTTTAAATTGTTCTTCTTCTTTTACTAATATAATTTTAATATTATGAGTTTAATTAAATTTAACAAAAATGATATTTTTAGTCCCATATATCTCAATGTTTAGTATAACACTTTTTT